CCTTCAAAGCGATACAGTACTTGACAATTGACAAATGATTAACAAGTAGAAAAGCATACGGAAACACTCATCTGCACAGAGCTGTGAAAGGAGGGGTATGGGTGTAGGAAGACCTCGGATGAGATGTTGGTCTTGCCTTTCAGAATAATTATATTGGTCGTTCTGAGGACAGTTGTTGAAGGGAAACACTGGAAGGAGGGTCCAAGTGGCTTCATTTCCCTTTTAACATCATCATAGACCTACACAATGAATCTTCCAGTTCCTTTCTTTGTTCTGTGGTCATTTCTTTTCTCCTTTCTCCAGAAGGGCTGGTTCTGAAAGCCACCTTACCCAATGCTCCCCATCCTACCAGTACATCTGGGAGGCGACTTCTTTCCCTACTCCAACACCCAGAAAACAGAAGCTCATTGCTTATGCTGCAATTTTGATAACCTAACTGGCAGAACAGTTATTCAAATTTTAAGCTTCTGAATGCAGCAAGATCAACCTGGCCTATCCACATAAATAATTTTGACACGATAAGTATGCGAGAGCGATGATAACGATAAGTGAAGCAATTACCTTGCTTTTTTGGATTATATTAAATGAAGATTCTGATAGAGTAATGAAAAGAGACAAAGCAGACAAAAAGTCGGCTGCAGAGCTTTTGGGCACTGTGTTATCTCTATTATACCATATTGAAATAGAGAAGCTATCACCAATCATGCATTTCTATGTAACTTCTGGCTTCTAACAGTGAACAATGAATAAATTGTCACAAGACAGTAACTGATAAATTGGGATTGGCAGTGCTTTTTAAAAAGCATAAATAAACTTACTAGTCACCCTTTTCTTTTTTCAAAGCAGTTTTTAGGGGGCTGGGGAGTAGGTAGGTGAGTGGAATCTATTCCAACTATATCCCCTGTGTTCCCTTCCTCTACCACAGCCCATTCCTTGTACTGTTTTTTGTTTGTTTGTTTGTTTTGTTTTGTTTTTTAACTAATCAGTTTTAGGGACTCAAGATCATGTTCTGGTGTTGTCACCCAAATGTCACCAATCTGTGGTCCCCCTGATTTGGTATGTGGCTCGAGTGTTTGGATTTCACAGCATCAAGTTAGCTTAAATTTTTTTTGCTTTCAGTAAAGCAAGTCTTACATAAAAGTATAAAATATGGACAATTAGTTTCACGAGCTTTATGTTCCAGCAGAATGAAGTTCTTTAAAATCCACAAATGCTTTAATGATGCCCCAGTCCTGCATTTGTATGCTGTTTGGAAACAACATTCCCCTTAAAAGAGGAGGTAGCAATGGGCACATCTACCATCATAAGCTCCTTGGATTTCAGAGGGACTTTTAGGTGTTAGTGAACAAAGTTTTCTGATTTGAATCATTCCTCCGTGATACCCTGGTAAAGTCTGTTTGCCCAGCAGGTTTGCAAGTTTAATGGTGACTTGTTGGTTTATTTATGCTTTCTTTTTCAGATGTTCTGTAGTGTGAGAAGGTGGAATTTGGTGATGAAAGGATTCAGTTCTTTTCAGAATTACAGCATGGACTTCTTGGAGTGTAAGTGCCTGAGCTAGTTACGCTGTGGTGCAGAGGAGGGAGGGAGCTTGGATGTGGAGGTGGAAGGGCAGGATTCAAGTCTCAGTGTTTCCACTTACTTATGGTTTAAGTTAGTCATACTCAAGTGTCTCATCTGTGAAACGGGAACAATAAAGTTGACAGGAATGCCATGTTATGGGAAGGACTTTGTGAACAACGAGGCACAACACAAATGTTGTTAGCATTGATCTGGCTGGTGGATCCTATCTCAAGGTTCAGAGGAAGGAACTGACCCACAGCTGCCTTTGGCTGTACCATGAAGACTGGAGTTTCAGGTGGGTCCGTCCTAATGGCAGGGTGGGCTGACTTTGTTCTGTGAAATAAAGACTAGGGGAATAGGCAAAGACTATGGGAATTAGTCTTCTGCTTCTATAAGCAGGATGATTTCTCTCCTAGCTCATTAAAAACAAGAAAAGCAAACTCTTCACATGGCCACTTTTCAAATAGAAAGGGCCAATAAAGTTATTAAGAGAAAATCACATTTGATTAAATTATTATCATCATGGTGTTTAAAATAACATTCGTTCTGTTTATCAAGCTCCAGTCTGACTGCATTTGTAAAGAATTTGCCTTTAAAGACCAGAAAAACAACAACATGGAAATGAAGCCCAAGGCTTTCACCACAGACAGGATGGTTGATTGTTTTGCTCCAGTTTGTTCCAACAGTTTGCACTGCCAGGACTCAAGCCTCCAGACAGCCCATGGTACACGTTAACCACAGTTGTGGGGGAGAGGTGGAAGAAGGAATGCCATTTTCTGTTAACCCCAGGATCTGTTAACGCCTGGTCTGCATTTATATCTGCTTAGCAGTTGTTTCACTTTTAGAATTCATGCCACAAGCTGATTCCATGTAATTATTTGTTACCCATCTTGGGATTCTTAAATGTATCTTTCCGCCCCACAACAAAAAGAACTAGTTGTTGGTGTTACTTAAAATAAAAGCAAAGAATATTCATCAATTTTTACATGATGAATGCCAGCCTTACTACCCAATTTGAGAAATCAGCAATCTCAAAATATAGCTCGTCCGCGATTGGTTCTAACCACAGAGGTAAGGTATCAGATGTGTACCAGGTGTGTGCTTCCATAGCATGGCCCCAATTATGATGATTGGTTAAAGGAAGAAACCAGGGGCCCCCAAAGCACACCCATTACTCATACTATGCTTGTCACCACAACACCCCACATCTCCAAGATTCCTTTGCCACTCTACAACTAAAGTTTAATGTCAGGGATACCTGGGGTCTCTGTGTGCTTACTCTGATCAATGGGTACCTCTCTATCTGATTGTTAGTTATTTAAATATTGTGCACATCTAATTTGTGTTATATAATCCAGTAGAAAGAATGGAGAGCTACATCTTAGTCCATGGGAATGAACTTCTGTCTGCAAAAGACGAGAGAAGCCTAACAGAATCCAAACAACAAAACTTAGGGATATAGAATACTTTATTTTATTTTATTTTATTTTTGTTGTTTAGAAGTTTATTAAAGGACAGCAGAAAAGACTTCTCCCGGAGGAAGAAGGGGACCCAAGAGGTGGAATCCCGGGATATAGAATACTTTAAATCTGTGTATTCTACATATGCTTTTAAGGGCTCCTATGGTTATATATGATAAGACTTCATAATCTTAGGACTTTGGTACCTACTGACAAAGATTCTTGAATCAGCAAAACACCCTGCAAACATCTTATGGCATTATATCTTTGACAACTAATTTTAAAAAATATGGAGTAGATCTAAAAGAATGGAGTCTGGCCCTGCTCACGCCATTTAGAAGAGCACTGACATATTTACAAGAACTGCAGAAACTATCCTGGGCTTGTACATGTCCCAGGACATAAACATATTTTCACTAAACCTCAAGAGTATTCTAAGAGAGTCCAAAATCCCAGCCAATAAAAGTACTTATGGATCATATCTTTTTTGGGCACTTTATTTTTAAAACAATTAGAAATGAAAGCTTCTGATGAGATTGTTAGGGATCAAAACCCTAATTGAAGGACTGTAGCTCAAAGTTTGAGCTAGAGACCTGAGCTCAGCAGATGCAGTAGAATCACGTCCTCACTGAGTTTGTCAACACCAATTTTGTCCATGAAAGTTGGTAGCTGCGATGATGTTTATAGGGAGACTGGGTATATATTCCCTCCAGCTCCCTCAATGTCTCCATATTCTTTATTCCTAGTATCTAGCATGTGATGACCATTTAATAAATATTGGTTAAAAAATAAATATTTTTGAAGATGAACTTTTAAATCCTTTTTCCCACATCTTATATTGATTCTTGAAATGATCTTTTTAATTCTCTCTCTGCCCTCTTTCTCATTATTCATTTATTCATCAAATATGTATGGTATGTTTTCTGTAGGCCAGGGACCAGGTAAAGCAAGGCACTGGGAAAAGGCCCTGAACAAGACCTGGCTCAAATTTGCCACTTCTGGCAAAATGTTCCCGAGTCTCTTGAGCAGAAGTTGCTCCATAGCTAGGTCTTATACTCATTTGCCATGATATTGATCACACTGCACTTTAATTAGCTGTGTCTGGTTTTTTTTTTTTTTCCCTTACTCTAGACTGACTTTCTTGCAGATGATAAAGGAATCTGGATTCACTCTGTATCCTCACAGCTGAAGACATGCCTACATACTGCAGTCTGTCAGGACATTATTTATCACTATGGTAGGACTGAGTGCAAAAATGACCAGGATTCCTCATTACTCCCCACAGCCAAGGCTTTTGCCTCATGGCCTGGTGGCTCCTTCCAACAAGAGTAGAATCTCTATATCTTCACTCCTGGAATCTGGGATGGTGTTGTGGCTTGTTCTGGCCAATAAAACATGATGAAAGGGACAGGGACAGTTTTTAGCTTAGGCTGCAACTTATTCTTTGAGCAGAAGGAACAGGTCTGCTCTAGCATAGTTGGTGGTCTTTGTCTCACAACCAGCCAAATGCCACACATGCAATTCAGGTATCCTAAACCATCAGCCCCTGGCCAATTCACCAGCTGAACACAAACAAAGAAGCCTTCCCTGTTAAGATCTGCTGAGCCTGGCCCAGATCAGCCAACTGTCCAGTTAATCTATGCACACATGAAAAAGAAAAATGCCTATTGTTTGGAGCCACTGAGATTTGGTGTGATTTGTTATGTGCGTAATAGCTAACTTATTTGCAGTGACTTTTAAAACTTTTTTTCCTCTTTTATTCCATCTACCAAAGAAACAAACACAAGATTGCTTATGCTTCGGATTAGAAAGCCTAGCATTCTTGGGGCCGGGGATGTGGCTCAAGCAGTAGTGCGCTTGCCTGGCATGCGCGGGGTGCTGGGTTCGATCCTCAGCACCACATAAAAATAAAATAAAGATGTTGTGTCTGCTGAGAACTAAAAAATAAATATTGAAAAATTCTCTCTCTCTCTCTCTCTCTCTCTCTCTCTCTCTCTTACTCTGTCTCTCTCTTTAAAAAAAAAAAGAAAAACAAAGCCTAGTTATTTCTTTGTCTTTCCTAAATTATCCACTGCCAATCTTATTTATAGAGAAGATCTCGAACTCACTGAATGTCAGAATTAAGATGACCTGTGGTCATCTCATCAAAACCCCCTATTTTTTTTTGAAAACAGAAATGGAGTAAAAACAATTGATGTAATTCACTCAAAATGACCCAGCCAGTTAACGAAGTACAGACTCAGCCACCGCAGAACTGTGGGCTCCAGGGCATATTTCTCACCTCTTCACCAAGTTTTGATCACTAAAGTCTTTCATTTATCTTCTTTGTTTTAAAGGTACAGTTGGCACAAAATGTTCATAAACATAGTCAAACTTAATGAGGAGTGCTGTAAGCGTCCAAGAACGAGGTTATCTAATTGCTTCAATTACTAAAGAAATGCAGCATGTATATTTTCTTCTGCACCATTTATAATGTTTTTGGACCCTCAATGCAGATTATGCAGATGCCAAGAGTTCCCCAACAGACAGATATGTGCACATGCACGCCTCCTCATTTTGAAGCTTATTAGTCATACAAAACATCAGTTCCTCAACTGGCTGAATGATTATAAAACTCTGACTTGGAGGGCACGATCACTCCTAAGGCTTATTTGCTCAAGGAATTTGATGGATCATGAGATTGGTGGATGACCAAAATCCAACAGAGCTCAGGCCCAGGGACTTTTCAAGTGAAAAGTGAAAAACATCATCTGAACAATACATTCTGGGGCCTAACACTTTGTATTTGGATTAATAGAAGATAATGTCAATTTTATTTGCTGAGTAGGTAAGAAAGCCATGGTCTAAAGGTTGGGAAGAAAAAGCTAAAAGTCAGAGTCAAAGCATCTGAATGTTGATATATTATTTTTCCGATGCAAGTCAATAGCTAAAAAATGGATGTGAATCCCAGTCTAAATTTATAATCATCAATAGATATGAAGGAAAAGCATTTGGTATTGATCGGAAATCAAACTGAACTGTATCTCATGACAAAGTAAAATTAACTATTTTGTTAATTACTATAATTATCTTCCCCACATCTATTTTGACAGAAGTGTCAGTGGTAGAAAACTATCTCCCTAAATTGCCTTGCCTCTTACGAATTACGGATTCATACAATTTTGATAAATGATTTTATTCTCTCCTTTACACTTGCTTTGGGGCTTCTTGCGACATGATTTTTCAGAAAAATGCCTTGGTGACTTAGAAGTAAAGAAATGAGAAGAAAGGTCACACTGAAAAGATTAACTACATGGAGAGACAGCAGGCCTCAGAATGGTCTGCCAATCACAGGGAGTCTCATCTGCCCCTTCCTTTTTACTCAAAGAGTGTTCCAGAACCAGGAATGCTTTGAGCAAGAATTAAGAAGTCATTGTGACTGGTGAAGGAGTTCTTAGCCAAGGATTACTGCAAATGTGACTTTTGGCTCAGGCTTTGGTTTTTTCTCAATGTTGCATCATAGTTGAAACCCACTCTAAAGGAAGTGAAAGAAAATTCTCAGGTCACCATGAACAGTTAAGCCCAGGAATGAAGGTCCTTGCTTCTTGGTCCTCCAGGCAAATCTCCGTCTGTTTCCAGAGACTTCAGAGTTCCCCGACTTTACCACTGTTCTTTTCTTGGGCTTTTCAAACTGTCTCTGCATCTCTTTTCTGGTTTCTTTAGAAGCCAAAAGAGCTTAGATGAGAGAGAGAGAACCATTAACTTTGTCAGGACCAAAAGGAAAGATATTATTTGCTAATTTAAAAAACTTATCCTCTGTATAGACATAACTTCTCTGTTGACTGTCAGCATACTTTACAAAAGCTTCACTAAAACGCTAAGCTTCAAAATGGCCTTGTTCCACCTGACTTACAAGACAGGGAGGGTAAGGGTGAATGTCAAGTTTAATAGTTGTTTTCATCATGGTAGTCAGAACATAATGAAATACATTCATGCATGCAAGCATTTGTCCACCAAGCAGCTATCAGGCACCTATCGTGTGCCAGGTTTAAGGGGTCCCACATTTTGCCTTGTCATGGTCTCACACCAAATAACATGACTCAGAGGTGGAAATCTAAGTGGAAGATTACAGAACATAGGTAGGATTTATTATTATTATTATTATCATTAAGCTCTTATTTGGTCCCTTTTAGTGAAACTAATTTTGACATCTTACTTGATGTTTATAGGAAGATCAAGATTTGAGATTCCTTGCTTAGGAAACCTATGGATTGGAGAGATGGCCAATAAAAAGGCCAAGAGTTGAGCTTGAGGTGAACACATATTGCCATGGAGAACACAGAGGTGTTCCTCACCTATGTTGGGGAGTTGTGGGAGGGAGGAGTTGAGTGATTTGGAAAACACATGATCCCTAGCATGAATCTTGACATAAGAGTGGCTTGATTTCTAAAGCAGTACCACTAGCAGAGAGTATTAGAGAGGGGCAAACACGGCATCTTCTCTGTAGAATCTCAGTATTGAGCAACTCTGCACGAGAGCACTAAGA